TGCCTCGGGCCAGCGGCGGCCCCGCCGAGCCCCACCGCGACCCGCCGGCAACTTTCCCGGGGAAGAGCATCCCTCCCCTTTCACGTTCTCCTCGCGGCCCTTCATGCCGCCACCGAAGGAGCCCCAGCGCGTCCCAGCGCCGCGGCGGCTCCGCGCCGCCCCGCGGTGAGGCTCGGGCGGCCCGAGCCCGCAGGGTGAGTACAGCCCGCCCGCCGCTCCGGGGCGGGATGGGGCGCGGGGGCTGCCGGTGCGGTGCCGGGGGTGTGCGCGGGGGTCGCCCCGCCGGGCTCGGGCCACCGGCCGCCAGTGTATCAGCGCGGGCCGCGCGCCCCCTGCCGCCCGCACGGAGCGGAGCGCGGCGGGGGCCGGGGCCCCGGCTGGGGCTGGGGCCGGGCCGGGGCGGTACCTGCGCTGTGCCTCCTCCGCTGGAGCTCGGAACCGGGAGCCGGGACCGGGCCGCGCCGCAGCGAGCTTTGAAGGGGCGCGGGCGGTGGGAGAGCCCTGAGGGGGCGCGAGCCCTGAGGGAGGGGCGCGGCCGGCCCGCAGCGCGGATTGACCCGCGCGGCGCTGAGGGACAGCGGCGGTCCCGCTGGCATCGCCCCGCCGGCGGGGAGCGGCGGGCAGGTCCCGGTACCCAGCCTGGAAACAGTTCCTCCCTCGCATCGGAAATTGCCGGCGGCTTTTCTAAACATTCACACGCACACAGAACCCCCAAAGAAAACCCCTCATGGCGGTGAGCAGCGCAGATCGGCTAAACGCGATAAAACAGATGCTTTTCTACTCTCAAAGTTGGTGCATGTGTGGTTTTGGCTTCTGATGAATATACTTTTATTGTTCTGCAATCAACTTTTCAATAATCCGGATCTGRTGTGGTAGGAGCCAGCATTACTTCTACAGAGATATTAGCGGAGACAGTGTGTGGAACAAGCGGTGGAGATGCTTTTAAAGAGGGAATAAGTCACTGTCTTGCCTAAGGACAATGCGGTTGAGGATGAGAAGCTGTGGCCTGGGAAGCCCGTCAAAGGGAAGAAAACCACAGCAGAACTTCCCCTGGCTTGTTTTTTGTTGTTGTTGTTGTGGTAGTTTGTTTTGGGKTTTTTTTCGTTTTGTGGTTTTTGTGTTTAAAAAAATAAAGGTTGGTTTCTGGTGTATTTCTGGACCTTAGCAGGGTGATAACCAGAGAGTTTCCAGCAATTAGTGGCTATACTCTCACGGAGTTACGAACTTTGCCTCGACCTTCAGCCCTTTGACACTGATAAGCAGCACCAACTTTCTAGCTATTTATATAAAATACAGCAATAGCACAGAACAAATTCAGCAACCGGTAGGCATTCATTTTTGAGGCTAAGAACTTTTAGTTAGGAAGTCATCATTCTAACACCATAACTTGAAATCTTTGTCGCCCTGTGCCCTGGATACATTGTGATGAGCAAGCATCACCTTATTGAGTGTGAAAAATAATTGAAAAAAAAAATCYAAAACCTGTAACTGCCCCAAATGCTAACTTAAATTCCCAGAAGAAAAACTTACTTGCAGAACAGATTGATGCTAGGTACAGAGATATTTAAGGCAATAAGCTAGAATTATAAAGATGCTAGAGGGAAAAAAGCAGCTATGTACTAAGGCTCTAAAATTTAAATAGCTGAAATGCTTTTTACTCCATATTCTGACAGATGATGATACCTGGCAAGTAATGGCAGTGGTAGTATGATGTGTCAGTCAGCAAAGAATAATGTGTGAAAACCAAAAGTATTTCAAGTATAGTGCCAAATCCCAGGTTTTTGATAGCAGATTGCTGTATTTTATTTTCTTTAGCCAGTAAGTATTGACATTTTAAATTTCTCCTGAGGCAAAATCTTTTTCTGCTAAATAGTTGAATAAGCTGGATAAGAATAGAACCTAAACTTTGATTGGAACAGCATTTAAGGCCAAAGACACCAAAGCAGTTGCTTGAGTATACTGCATTTCATACAAGTATTGACAGAAATAATGTATATTAAATCGTTAAATACAGGTTCCCTTCTTCTTTGAATAGATAAATTATTTTGCCTTTATAAAAGGGGTTGGTTTGTATATGTATGAGGCTCTCAAGTTGCCTGGGTGTAGCAATGTAAATGTAAGTTGCATGAGGGTTAGTTCAGTTTTCTRATACACATTATTTCCTACGTCCTAAACTGGCTTTAAATAATTAATAACTGGAGTGGTCGCAAAGGAGCTTTTTACTTGGGCTCTGTTGGATACATTCATCTGCTTAAGCTGTTAGGGATACAAACTTGAAACATGTTTCGTTTGGAAAAATCTGTTCTGCAGCTGCCGCTGTTGAGAGGTGACAGCCGGCACTCCTTGCCTTGCTTCGTTATTTTAGCCAGTTCTCCTCAGGCTGCCGTGCGCTGTAGTATCTGCTGTTGGCTCTCATTCCTGCTCRTGTGTGGTGCTGGGGTACACTCGATCCAATGCATGGTCAGGGTGAGAAGTGGTCACTCTTTTTTTTATTGCCTCATGCACGTTCCTGTGGTTTGCCTAAGAGAGTGGCCCAGAGCCCACCCCTACGGATCTCACGGTGATTTCCCGGCAGGGAGCCTCGTGGAGGGCATCCAGCCTCTGTGGTTTGTGAGGAGGGAGTTATTTAGGGAAGGGGGTGGATTTTCACAGTGATGGAAGGAGACAAAGGAGGAGTGTTTGCTAACAACCCATAACGAGACCTGAGGCTCTTTGCTGGCACTGATTCTGCCAAGATGCATTTTATCTATTCTGTAAAGGGGGTGTCTGCTCCATCTGCAGAATTAACACGCTGTGTGAGGTGTGACTAACCCACCTGGAACGGGATGCATGTGCTCAGAGCCTCCTCACAGCTGATTTTAGTCTGGTGGTCAGCTGCATGCCATTCTTCTCAAATGTCTGTGACACACTCACTTGTGGCCAGAACGACCAGCACTTCGCAGAGGGAGCAGCGCTCAGAGGGGAAAGCAGGCAGAGCAGATGTGGCCTTCTGCACTGGTGCCTCCCTGGTGCCTCCCAGTGTTTTACTGACTGTAGAGGCTGTGGCACATGGGAATGTTCAAGGCCCTGAAAGTGCTGCAGTTCACAGCGCTGCTGTCCCGGAAGGTCACCGGAACCAGGGTGCTCTGGAGGTTTTGAATATATTTGCTAAAGTCCTCCTGGCACTTTGCCCTCAGCCAGCAAGGACGCTGATTCCTCTTTCCCACCTCTATGGCTCCCAGCACCCAGGGTGTGTGACTAGCAGAGCGGGGCAGGGTGGAGGGAATCAGGGCATCAGACAGTAGTTATTCCTGATTTGTTCGGTTACCTTTTTCTGAGGTCAAATGCACAGGCATTACTGGGGACAAAATACCCCATTGCTGTGTGTTGCCCACAGCTAGAGGCTTATCACCACACATCTGATACATCTGTGAGCTTCAGAAATATTACCCTAAAGGGTTTTGKTTTACAAAATAACTCAAATAGATATTTTCTTAGCAATAGGACACTGAAATGTAAAGTGCATATCATGAGTGACTCTGCAGGAACAAATATAAGCAAGACAAATTGTTTAGCTCCATCAGAGAAAAATCTGGCAGCACTCAGCGATGATCCTTAATGTGCTTTGGTCAATATCTTTCTCKATATCAATGGAAGCTCATTAAAAGAAGATATTGCAGACTAACTGAGCCATGCCATACTAGTTCTTGCCAAAGCTTGACATTTTTAATACATTAATAATATGTCTGTAATGTAATGGAAAACTATTAATCAGAACTGGTTATATGCCAGAAATTTAAACTATAATTGGCTGCTTCTTGTCAGGAATGTCTCTTGTACACTGCTACAGCTGCCTAATGTTCAGATGTCTTGCACTCCTCTGCACTTTTTTCTTGTCAGTGCACTAAATTCAATCGATGTTATAGTCTATAATTCTGTGTAACGACCATCATTATGACTGGCTTACTTTAATGAGAAYTCGTTATATGGGAAGTATTTTAGCACAGTGTGTTAAGGTAGTGGCTTGCTTCACATTATTTAGTCCTAGTCCTGTTTAGTGGATCTGACTCTAGATTAGTGGATCTGACTCTCAGCAGTTATAAAAGGTTACAGGTAACTGAAGAGCTAGAAAGGAAGATATTAAGGAAAACAAACGTGGGGTTTTTTTTTCTGCCTGGATATACAAACTTGCAGTCCAATTATAATTAAACTCAGTAACTTCTTAWTTCTACACAGAAAACTTTATTTACTTACTGTTTATTCGAGCTATGATGAAGCCACCTCTAGTAAAGGGTATTTGATTTGCCATAAATTTAAAATAATTTGGCTCATTTTCTAGCAAGGAGTTGTTCCTGTTTTCAGAGTGACTGTTCTGAACTGAGGGGTCTTAGAAATGTTTTTTTCCCCCTCTTCAAAATAGTAAAATACACTGGAAAGGAAACAGAGGGGAAGAGTATGAGGTGTGCTTAGAATGACATGGAAAGTGTTCTCTAAATTGCCAAATTCCAAAATATTAAGCAAACACTCCCACTGAAAACAAAAAAAAAAAAAAGAAATAAAGAATGTAAGGTTGCTACAAAACCAACAATACTACACAGCATGCTTCTTAAAAAGATTTAATTTGGTCTTAGATATATCTGCTTTTGTGTCAAATTCAGATTTGAAGCTTAAATATGTTTGAATGAATTGAGAATTGTTACTGCATGAAAATTCAAATATTCTCTGTRTATTCTGATAAAATACATGAGAGTTGTATGGTAACACTTGATAAAATGAATATAATGGAAAATTGCATTTACGTCCATACAGCAATTATTGTAAATTACTTTGCTATGGAAACACAATTCAACCATCTGTTGGCATTTCATGGTGTCTGTAGTTTAGCTCAGTTTAAGATGAAGCATTATTTAAATAYAGGGGGGCTGTTTGCGAATAGCTTTGAAGATAAGTTTTGAAAATGCATGTTCCCAATGTGACACATTAAGGAGCTTACCAGGGCACATACCGCTTCTCGTGGCTTTGGGATGTAGGAAGGTTCATGACACTGGGCTGGGAAGCAAAGCAGGCTGTAGAAAGTGGCGACTTGTGGTTGTTTCTTAACATCTGCATGCTCAGGCTGCCTAGATTTGAGCATCCAGACAAAGGAAGTGTGGAAGTGCTGTGCAGCTGGAAATCCTCCTCCTGYCGAGCACCCAGCGCCCTGGCTCCCCAGCTTTGGGTGGCACAGGCTGACAGAAATGTACTGACATTCCTCGTCCTGGTTTTCTTTGGCCTTGTTTAGGGTACTTACCTGTCTTTGCAGTTTTCCTCATACATAATTTGGATTTTTACCCGTGTGTTTTAGGAAATACATMTTTTAAGTTGATGTGATAATGTTCTAGCATTTTATACCTGTAATTACGTGATTCAGGTGCTACAAAGCAAGGGAATTTCTAGTTGCTTTCTGAAAAGGAGAAAGGGCATATATCTGCTGTGAAATAAAAACTRARTGCTCAGGTACAGCCATCCTCAAACCTAAGAAAATAAGTAAGGTACAAAATAAACCACTATCTTTATCAGTAATTTGTCATCAATGTGGTCACTAAATCACCATTCAAACAAAAAAAAAGAACGGAGAAAAGCTCTTGTAATACTAATGAGAAATGTCAAGGAAATTGAATTGCACTTGCCATATCTTTGTTRTTCTTAAAATAATAATAATTATAATAATTATGGAAATATGCAAGGCTTTTGGAGCTCCATGAGATCCTCTTGCCAAGAAACTACCAGCACGTGATAGTCCTGATCCCCATCTCKGTGTCACTTTAATAAAAGAACCTTCCTGCTGCTGCCCTGCAGTGCTGGGCTTCCTGCTCCCCCACCTACCTGCACCATCTGGGCCATGGCTGAGTTCAGTAGTTTGCTCTCCAGTTTTGCTAGGGTGAGAATACAGTTTTGGAAGCAGGAACCTCTAACTCATCTGTAACATTATAAATCTGTCTTTGTTAGGGAACGGTTAAATCCTTCATGTCAAAATATTTTTCACTGTGAATGATTTTGGTAGTTTGTTCATTCTAGCACAGAACCCACGGTAAAGGTTATCCATATTATACCAATTTGCTTTATATTGCATCAAACCTCCAAAATGTCAACATATCATGTATTTTGTAATGCATTGATTCTTGGACAATAACTCTAATTTTTATTGTTTCTAAAAGGGTGCTGGTGCCAGAAGAAAAGAATGATTGATGGGAAACAGACACCAGCCTGTAGACACTCACCTTTTTCCTTCGGATGCTGATTTATCGGTGTGTCCGGGCATCCCCTGCAAGCCCTGAACACGGAGGATCACTCAGGGTTATCGACGGTGTAGCTGAAGACCTGCAACTTCACAAATTATTATCTGCTATTGGATATCTTTTACAGGAAGCCCTAGCAGATAAGTTAGAAGACGGACAAGCGCTGCATTTCTGTGAAAGGCTGTCATCAGGGCCTGGTGGCTTCTACCAAAGTCTTTACCATAGTGAAACTAATACCCTATCCCAATGCTTCACGTTTGAGTTGGAACCTATTTTATAAATATATACATGTATATATACATATAATCTACAGACTGCACATACGCCAGCACTGAACATCCTTACGAAGCTGACATAAAAGGATTTAGAAATGTATTTGTCAAGATTCCTRTCACTTCACGCCCTCTGGGTTACTGTATCCTCCGTGATGCAGCATTACCCTTCTGTTTGGGGACACTATGACGTGTGTAAGACTCAGATTTACACGGAGGAAGGAAAAGTATGGGATTACATGGCCTGCCAGCCAGAAGCCAGAGACATGATCAAATATGTAAAAGTGACTCTGGATCCCCCAGACATAACGTGTGGAGATCCTCCTGAGACTTTCTGTGCAATGGTAAGGCAAGCTTTTCATTTTGCATAATTAGTGGGGGTATATTTGTGATAGATGGCTTCAAAATAGAAGCCCTAGAGCGCACACCAAATTATCCAAGAAAACCTGCATCATATTCCAAACGTGAAAGCTTCTGCTGTACAAAATTCTGAGCACTACATTAAGCTGAGCAATGAGATGTTCTGCTTATGAGGACCTAACTTGACTTTATCTGAACTCAGTGTCTCTCTACATCAGCTTTTAATGTATCAAAAGAAAGCAGCATAAAACTCCTAATGCACTAAGCCATAATTGGGGTGGCCTTTGCCTGATCAAGAAAGACTTGAATTAACCAATTCCTTGAAAATCAGTTTAAAGCATCATAGCATGGCACAATTAAGCATAATTTCTGAACAGTGAGACCAATTGAACTCAAATTGCTAAAGCTTAAAAAGTGGTGGTGGGAGCTGGGCTGTTAAAGTTTTCCCAGCTGCCCAAGGAGCTGCAGCAGGTGTGTATGGACAGTGCAGCAAAAAACACCTCCCAGCTCTAGCAACTACTCACAGCTTTCTTCCTACCTGAAACCGTTGGCATTCAAGCAAACTAAGACAGACCAAAGTTCCTGATTCTACATGGTCCTAAAATAGACTGGGTTTGGAAATGTTGGCTTCGTAAATAATTGTACAGGTATAAGAAACCAGGCAGACACTAGATATATATATATATATATATACACACACACACATATATATGTATGTTTATCAGTCATTTGCACTGTGCTGCTCCCAAGTGTTTGAGAGATCATGCTATGACATTTCAGTTAAAGGAGCTCTTTAACTTGTAGATGACTTCTTTGTCCTCAGACACGAGCATTCCTTTGCCTCTGAATATTTTTGTTAAATACTGGGTGGAAAATATTGAGTTCCTTGACTAGAAAATATAAGTTTGGGGTACAAAACATGCATACTTACATCTGTTAATACAACACTGGAAATGTGCATCGTGTCACTTACATTATTTAGGTTTTAAAAACCAACRAATTCTGGTAAGTGAGTTATCACAACTGAGAAAAGTATACAAGATATATATTTGGTTGTGTACAAATCATCATTGCTTGGTGACAGCATYCCCACAGGGAGGAAATTTACTTTTAAATGTCTTGTGGCATCATTTTCCACCACTGCTGTTGCGTAAGGAGTTCAGATCCAACCACACATACATTTAAGGCATTATTTGCACGCACGCAGCTGCTTCCCACGTACATTATGGTAATAGCCAYGTGATAAATTGTGRAGCTACATGAATAAATTACATTCACTGTGAACCTTTGACTGCACCACTTGCTCTCTGCCCACTAATCCATCTCTGCTGACATGGCTTTGACACTCTAAACCTCCGAGCAGCTTCAAGCAGCCACTGTTTAAAAACAAATAAAAGTYATGTGCGCCACATAATACTGTCCTACTGGTTTTTTTCTTAATCTTGAAATATATTTTTTCCCTCTGAACAGTAATAGCTGTGATTTAGCACTCAGTAATATTTAGTAACTCAACATGTAATACGAAAAGTTGTTCTTTTAATGAAAAAAAAAACCACAAACAAACCTGGCCAGTAAAACTTGTTTCTTTCTTTTAGTGCAGATAAACATTGCAGCAGCTCCTATCTTAGGTAATTCTTTGTGTTTCTGAAGACCTTTGTTATCAGAATGCACTCTAGTTAGAGTAATGATTTTAAATAAAAATCAACCAACCAAAYCAAAAGACATTTTGATTATATCTGAATGTTAAAAATGGTGCCAGAACTCATCCTGAAAACATTTSACCCCACAAGGTCATCAGTGCTGTGAGGTGAGATGAAAGTTTTCTTGGGAATGACCTGAGTTTACAGCTATAGCTCACTTGCAGTTTAAGCCTGTGAGATGCAGAAGACCACGAGAAGAAGCAAAGAAAGAGGAATAACTGGGGAAGAGGGAGAGAGGGTACACGGAATGAGSGTGTGTATTCAGCTACACTAGCGTGGAGTGACTGACTCTTACACGGTAAACTATTGGATTTGTTTCCATTGTAGATGTAGGTTGTACATATGCACTATATTTAGATATGCATTGGCAATGGTTTGGCTTGCTTGAAACATAAGGAAAATGACAGAAATATTTGATGTTCCCAAGGTACACTGCCCATGGCCCACAGTAGTGCATTCTCATCCGTAAAAATGCTTCATGTCTATCTGTGAAAATGAGATATTTCCCCCAAAATTATGTTTTATATATTTTCTAGGGATGAGCCTTTGGCATTTATGAGGAAGTCTTTCATTTTTGTGCTCACTTTTAGTTTTAGAAAATGAGTTAAGAAGATAGCACTGACATACTTGGAGAAAGTGGGCAGTGGAAAAAAAGAGTTCTTTCGTGTTAGGCATGTTCTTGTGCTAAAAAATCCCAAATTTGAAGTGACAAAGTTGCAAAGGTTTCTTTTAAGCATGGTGAAGTGCCAAACTGGCTTACACAAATGCTTAGTTTTCTTTTTGTGATAGCACTGGCTATGCGCCTGCTAAACCTGTACCACTGTTTTGTTATTGAAATCAGGTTAACACTGACTTGGAGAAGATCAGGGTCTTTTCAGATATTCTAACAATAAACAAGGGTACCAAGCATCCAAGTCTGCTTCTGCAGGATGACAAGGAGATTGAAGCAGCCTCCTGTTTTATTTGAATGTCAGCTCCCTGATCAGGCTTCATAATTTTCTGTTCACCAAATGGACTAAGGTGCTAGCTGTTGAGTCTCTGTCGGCCTTTGGTGTAATATAGATTMGATTCTTGAAACAAACCAGACTGAGAATTTCAGTCAAGTCCTGCTGGGAGATTATGGTAGAATCTAAGGCAGTMTGTGAGAGGAGGATAATAATCTGCAATAACACACAACGCAGCCATGCATTGCAATGTGTGCGAGCATTCAATGCAGAGGAGATGGGTAGATAAATTGGCCCCCTACTTATTTCTGCGTAGTCCCCATGGAATCAAACGTTCTTATGAGTCCGTGAGGAAYTTTTACTTAGTGAGCTTGTTTAGTTGACAGACTGAATAACAGCATATGTAAATTTGTTGCAAAATGTAGCAGCCGTAATTGGCAGCTAAAGCCAGCATTTGGCAGCCCACCTCTTGCAGGTACCTTTGGGGTGTCCCCCCAGAACAGCAGCTGTAGGTATTATGGGGAGCATGCAGCAGGAAAACTATCCCACAGTTGCTCTTAGGCATCTGTTCTGAGAGTAACATTCTGGTTTCTGGTGACATTCAATACTGACGGCTCATGAGATTTTTCTGAAACCTCAAACCCCTGGAGTCTTACGATTATGATTATGTGAGATTTCCAGCTTTCATTTAAAACGTCATCTTTATTTCCTTAGTCCTTCTGGTTGCAGGGAAAAGTTTGAAAATGAAACCAAGGCACTCTAAAGGCAGAAACCAAATAAATAGCCTTCCAAATTATTATTTGTTTAAAATCTCATCGGATTTAAAGTAATTCGGGATTTTTACAGCTTGGAAAGGATTTTTGCTCAAGAGGAGAGATGCATAAAAGAAACTTATAAACAAGTAGGTGGCTAAGATCAGTGAACACTTAAAATTTCTAGATGTGGAGTTGCATGTGTCTGTAAGGARGATGTGACAGCATCCTTCCATAATAAACAGCACTCCTCCTGCCTACAGGATAACCAGCACCATGGGGAAAGGGTTCGCTGGTCACCTCTGGCTTTCCTGTACATTGTAAGGCAATCTCTAGCTGCTTAGGGTGAGGTACATATGCTGGCAGAAGGTGYATGTCTGCTTTCTGTGATATTCCTTCGAGGAAATTTGGACATCCTTTGTCAGTTATGGAGTTGGACTGAACAGGCACCGTGTTTGAGCCAGCGTGACCGTTCCTGCAGGTCTGTAATTTATGGACTTTGAGCATTTGGCATTGCTAAGAGTGTGTCTGGCACCATATGCTTGTGCATAGTTGGCCTGGGAGGAGAGGGAAGGGGAAGGAGAGAGAGAATAGAAAGAAGCTATTTACATTTTCATGTTTGAACTGCCGGTTTTACTTTGCAGAGACACTGAGCAAATTTCGAAACACCTGGCGGTGCTAGTTCTTGTGGCCTGCAGCATTTCAGTACAAAACAAATCTGCTTTAAATCCCTGGCAGCAATTAATGGTGAAATCTACTCCCTCTTTGTAAGAGCAATTCCACAATACTCTGTCCACTCATAAATAGAACAAATCTGACTTCTCATGACCACCACCATCTTTCAGTCTACTAGAACAGTGTGTAGGTGGATTGTAGCTTTCCTTCTCAAACATTTGCCAGCTATATCCCTGGTACAAGCCTTAGGAACCTGATGATGCTGCTCACAGCTCAGGGATCCTGTCACCCCAGTCCCACTGCCCTGCACATGGACTGGCCCCTCTGCTGACATCCAGCCTTTAGCATGGGGTTTGCATTCAAACCTGAGCCGGGATTACTGTGCGCATTCATCATGACTTTGACCAGGAGACTCCTAGTGGCTATTGCTGTAATTTGCAAACTACAGAATTTATGTTACCGATTGTGTTTGCAGCTCAAATGGCAACATGAAAATCTAATTTTCTGTTTGTGTTTAGACCTGGCAATCATACCAGCATCCCAACGGCTAAAAATTATGGAATTATCACTTATGGTTGCCTGCAGCTAATTTCCTCTGTAGGTTAAACAGAAGCTTGAGAAGGAGCCTGCAGATGGGAGTCCTTGCATTTGTACAATTTATAGAGCAGAAATGCTGATGACAGTAGAAATTTGATCCTTTGAGTGCTACTCTGTATTTCATAACCAATCAAAACTAAATTAAGAAACAGATTATTAAAAAGAATTCTGCACATATAATTCTGGCATAATATTATGAGGTGGACATTAAATTTTTTCTTCTGAGACTTTCATCATCATTAATATAGAATTCCTTTAATTACAAGTAGGCTCATATTCCTTAAGAAAGGGGAAATACTGTGTAGCATAGTTAGTG